GTTGCTAGCGTCATTGGTGGGGAGGGGCTGCGGAATGGCGTCTGGCCACTCTACACTCAGCCCTTCCATTAATGACACTGGTGACGATTGCCCACCCGAAGCGATCGTGCCCACTGCCTTTAAGGTGTCAATCATTTGGGGCAGGGCATTTCCGGCTGCCGCTATTCGCAAGAAGGGGGGGGGGCAAAATTAGCTCCAGTTCAAACCATCAAGTAGGCTAGAAATCGGGTTCTTATCATTCCGCTAATACAGCCCTTTAACGACCACACGTCGAGCTTATCGCGCCTATCAGCTCGCACAGAACTTGCTAGGAGCTGTTGATTTTTGGACGAAAGTAGGTGTATTAGTAGAGTAAATGCTGGCTTTCAAAGATTCACCCACACTAGGTAAGCTCAAAAGGGTTCTACGAGGACTACAGTACGCAACTCGATCGTTTATGGTTAGAGGGGTAGAACAAGAGGATGCGTTCGGCTTGGTGGGGGCACTGAGTGGAACTGAGCAGCAGTCTTGTGGAAATCTGTGAGTTCTTGCAACAAAAGTGGCTCATTTGTTCCATTTTGCAACTTCACAAGAATTGATAGATCACTAAAATAGGACCTGTTAGCTAACGTGAACCAGCAAAAGGAACTCATGAATGTGAAATGTGCCCCTCCCAAGCCTAACGGCGCTGACAAGTGTTAAGCGGCAAAGTTGAACTCATCACCGCACCGGATATGTGTCTTGTTTCTGCTACGAATCGAAAGCGTACAAACCTGCGAAGGCGACGACGTCGATTCCGAGGTATCCGTTGCAGGATCCTGAGCCGTACTGGATGGAGAAGGTGCGAGTCTCCTTGGTGAAGGTGGACGATTTGGTGGTGTCGAACTTGTGCTTGGTGTATCCGCTGCTGGGCTGTCCGTTGCAAGCGGCAGTCTTGCAGGCAGCATCAATTACCCAGAGGTTTGATGATCCGGTGTCGAGCACCAGAGTTGTGGTCTGGGCTGAAACAGCATGACTTCAGGCACTATTTTCGACCTTACCCAGCCAAGAAGGCCAACCTAAGAACGGTGCCAAACTTACGAGGAGTTCCAACAGTGACGTTTCCGAGGTAGAAGTCGTCAGCGTAATCGATGAAGGGCTGCGAGCCAGAGGCAAGGATCTGGAGCGCGAGCCAAGTGCTGTTCCTCCAAGAACTTCTGGTAGATGTTGGCCCTGAACATTTGCTGATATACCTGCGTCAAAACGCGCGTGACAGTTGGCAGAGCTCGCCGATCTACTTTCCCTTTGGAATCGATTTTTTTGTTTCTTTTCCTTAGTGGGCTCATAGCAATTGATCCAAAGGCACAGTTCACGATAAGCTCATGGACGGAAAAAAGGGTGGGGACTCGCAACCGCTGCGCTTCGATTGCTAACGCTCTTTCTTCAGGAGAGAACCAGCAAAAAACACGCTGGTTAGGAGTCTCCACCACTTTCTCCGCCCGTGCCATTATCGCGGCATGGGTCTTTAAGTTCAAGTTCAAGTTGG